TTGATCTGATTGGTTTATTTGGCCCGTCTATCACCAACATAGGCCAATCAGCTAACCAGTATTTTGACCCCTTCCCAAAATCACTTCAACGGAAGGTTTCCAGATGGATATGCGGAGCAAATCCATCTGGCGGAGTCAGGTTATCATTCTGTGACTTCAAGAGAGAAAATAACACTTTTCAGTGGTATCGATACTTTTGAAAATGAGTATCGTATCCGGATACAACGTTTTAGTTTCGATACTTTTTTAAGTAACATTACTTTTGACAACACTATTAGATTCTTTTCCTCATGTTTTTTGTCTTTATTTGGTGCCAGATCATTCTGAATCATTCCTGAAAAGGTCATTGTTAGACTCATCTGTCCAAAACGGCTGGTTCCAGTTAAGAGTCTCAGGAGAAATTAGGAAACTCTGCATGTTTTATGCTTTTGGTGATAAAACAAAGAAAAAAAACCTTCCTGTTGTCTGGATGGTTTTTAATGACTTTACCTGCCTTTCTATCCCACTCAGTCTGCTGAAATACTTTGCTCTCCTTCTCTCTCTGTTTCTCACACTTCCAGTTGTTAATTATTACTGACTTTAGATTTGTTCCAATTATGGTGAGTAATTATTTCCTTGTAGGCATTTCCTGACTAAAGATTAACAGATATCTGTCTGCGCAACGTGAGTTGTTTTTTTTTTTTATAAAATGGCTTCTGTGTTGAGATATTTCTTCACCGGAGAGGAAGAAAATATTGTTTTTTCACCTAAATATTCTAATAAATGATCTACTTAAAAACTAAACCTACAGTTAAAGTGGAATAGATCTTTTTGCTGTGACATGTTTGAGAAATGTATGCCTGCTAGTGGCAAAACAATTAGACAATGAAGTCAATTTGATTCAGTTTATTTCCATAGCATCAATTCACAACATGTTATTTGTTCATTTTACAAAAATAAATCAATCAGATCATCCGGTCAGATTGGTTAGAAGTTTTCTAAGGAAAAACCAGCTGATTGCATCCAGTTATTGATGTTGCAGGATTCTCTCCTCCTGGATAAGTAGACGTCCTAATGCTGCGTTCACACCGGAGCAAAAACTCGTCTGCTGCTTCATGTTTTATGCTTGTACGAGTTTAGTTCTGACGCACGGCTGAAGCATCTTTCCTTCGGGGTAAAAAAGTGGGTCTGACGCACGTTGGGCGGAGCTACTCTATCCTCTCTCTGCCTTGCAGCTATATTTGCTGTGATCAGTGGGAATAAAGTAGTTTTAATATGTTTTTAAGTGAGAAAATCCACCTGAAAACTTCATCAGTGCAGTCAGTTCATCCAGATTATCATCCTGCCTTCCAATATTTTTTCTGTCAGAGCCGCTCAGACCCCCACATACCAGCGGTGCGCCGACAGTAGGAAGCCTTCAACAGCAGCCTCTGGCCGGGTCGGCTCGTCGCT